TCAAGAGTGACACCCGAGTCTTTTAATTAACCCTCCCACCCACTCCCTCGGGTGTCTTTGCCCTCTTGAGTTTTCAGGAAGAAGTCCTGACGGTGCATAGTCTATGGATATCCCTTTGTTAGACGCTGCCGGGCCATCTATCGCTTCCGTTGGATGCCGAAAGAACGGATCTTCATCCGTGGGATGCTTTTGCGCAGCTTTTCGGTTGATACCTCCTCGCCTCTGCTCAGGATGATATACTTTTGCCGGTCCACACTCATGTAGATTGCTGCAGAGGTTTGCGAACATATGCACGGACAGACAGAAAAGACAGTAGTAGTAGCAGCACCAGTAGTAGGTAGAGTAGTAGTAGTAGTAGTAGTTGTTGTAGTTGTAGTTGTAGTTGTAGTTGTAGCAGCAGTAGTAGCAGTGTCAGCAGTAAGTGGTAGGAACTGGTAGTAAGTGGTAGTAGTAGCCGGAGCAGGAGCGGCCGGAGCAGCAGGAGCAGTACCAAGAGCTCCACCTTCTGCAGCCCCTGCCGGAGCTTTCAACTTACAAACCCTAGAGCCCAGCAGCCCTCAGAATTCTTCTCAATCCCTTCGTGGAGCTTTTGCAAAAGAAACGAAATTAAACCCTAAACCATAGCCGTGTTCCGAGGCTACTTCGGAGACGTGTCGGTAGGGATGCCCGTGACGGTTCAAGGCAGCACGGCCGTCATAGAAGCGGTGACGCTTGGTACCAGTCAGACTGGGCTTAGGGTTTAGGGTTTAGGCAGATGAATGAAAGCGGTTTGGGGTTTCAGCGGCTTTGTCGAGTGTCTAGCTGCCTTCTAAAAGCCTTACGTACATTGCTGGAAAGTAAGGATTTAGGTTTTGAAGCTGTAGGGTCTGTAGGTCAGAAGATCCGAAGGTTAACTGGAGTTTAAGACAGTAGGGCGCGCAGCCAGGCTTACAGGGGTTGCAGGGTTTAGGGTTCAGGACTTTTAAATTGATGCTCAAGCCTTGTGTTCAACCGGAGGTCGGCAAATCCCATTGGGCACCGTTTAGGTCGCTGCGGGACAAGGCATGTAATTGGAGCTGCGCACTCCTCTGAACGCCTTGAAATGCAATATGTAGAGATATACATATTAACACACACACACACATATATATATATGTATGTATATATTTATCTGATTATATTTACATACATACGGTACATACAGTACATACAGTACATACAGTACATACAGTACATACATACATACATACATACATACATACATACATATATATATAATTCGATTTCCTAGCGTGGGGATCCGGCTTATGTGCAAAGGACCGAAACCAGCGTCCGCTTGGACTTCAACCATCCGCTGGCTGGCAAAAACTTGACCATGACCGTCGTCGCGCCTTGGTTTTGAGCACCGAAAAACTGAAAGGTTTAGGCTTTTGGGGTTTAGGGTTTCGGGTTGACAGCAAATCACGCAGCAAACACACGGTTAAGGTCAAAACTGCAAACCCTACGGAAGCAACAGGGTACAGCAGCGAAACATTAATTCTCCTATGTAGTAAAATTAGGGAGACCCCTTAAAGGGGACCCTTCTTAACCTTACTTATGGTTCTAATAGAAAGGGACCTTGTTGAGAGGTTCTATATCCCCAAGAGTCCCCTTAATCCTAACTCCTAAATTCCTGATCTCGCCACCGGGTTCCAAAGTAAAAAGACTGGGTTCTTGTTAGGGGATTTAATTTAAGTTGCCATAATAAAGAAACCATAAAGTCTACTATAGATCCCCATTCTGGTAACTTAATAAAAGCCCTCTAACAAGAACCCAGAAGAGAGTTCTCACACCGAGGAGTCTAGCAAGCTGAGACCTGTACCATGAATTAATAAATGCACTACAGACCCCTGAACAATAATAACCCTCCCTTCGCCCCACAAGGATTTCAGTAGGGATTCCAAGATAAGGCCCAACGGCAAGAGGGTGTTTATTCGTCAAGGGTCGACATAGTCGGCTGGCCTAACATTTCAGAAGCGCCTTCTTAGTCACTGGGTAGGCAACCGTTAGCCAGGCATAGATTTGCCATCAACGTGGCCTAGCCATAACTTGTATTTACCCTGAGAGGACGGCAATGGTGTCTGTAGGTGAAATCTGCACCCAGAATCCCAAACTCCTGCGTATGATTCCATCTTGTTTGTATGTATGTATGTATCTATGTATGTATGTATGTATGTATGTAGGTATGTATGTATGTATGTATGTATGTATATAAATATATATGTATATAAACACACATCTCTCTGTGTGTGTGTCTGTCCTTCACATGGTCGGATTTTAGGGTCCAGGGAAGTTCAGGTCTTTGGGGGTGCAACGCTTCCAATGTCTCCGGTCTGCATGCCAAGAACGAACCCCCACGCGAATGCCATACTGCATATATTGTAGCATAGTATAACAGGCTGCTCATTGACACACACTTCTTTGTTTTTTATATCTGGGTTCCTGCGATGATAGCAGAATCTAAGGGTCCATGTATTCATAGAGGATCTACTTTGGCCTTAAAGTAGTCCCTATGTAGCTGCTTTGGGGCCAAAGTATATGCTCTTTGGGTGCATGGACCCTTAGGGGGAGTAGAGTAGAGTATGGTACAAACCTACACCGGAACTCAAAGCCCCAGCCCCTCCCACCACAAAATACAAAAAGCTGGGGTTTTGGGTTCAGGGTTTTGGGTTTTGGGTTTAGTGAATAATAATGAAAGAACAAACACCCTATGCAACCCCCAGGTTCTGGAATGCCGGGAGAGGACGGCTCCTGGCGTGCGCGTCGAAGTGGTTGTGGCCGGGTACGGCATCAGAACACCTCAGGACTCGAGTCCGGGCTATGGGCCTCGCGGGAATGTTAGTTGGGTTATAGGGTTAAAGGTTCCTAGAAACTAACCCCAAAATTGAAAGCCGACTTTATGGGCATTTAGGTTTAGTTTAGGGCTGAAAGTTTAGGTCATGGGATCCACACGAGTCTGGTGTAGGTTTACCTCAGTCTCCAGTCTCCAATGCAGCTCCCTTGTCTGCAAGCCACATGACCCAGACTGGAGAAAATGAGATTACATAGGTTCAGCGGCTGTTGGGTTGAGGTCGGCAGCTTGTTGGGGATGAGAGCTTCATGTTGCTATCAATCTGTCATGCTAGGGCTCGCATAAACATAAAATAACGCCCAATCAAATAACTGCCAATATTATTCTTTGGAGTTCTTTAATCTATAAAACAGCCCAAAACTCTCTAATTCTTAAGGCCTCTACATTAAAGCAAACAGTCGGGGAGATATCATCGTCGAGCCGGTTAGGCTTAAGTTTAAGGATGGTGTGAGGGCTGCAATCACACAGCCGAAAGCTGTTCAGGCTTTGAAGGCTTGTTCCAGATGTTGGTTAGAACTAGATATGGGTTGTCTTCAATGTAATTGAACCCGAGGGGTGATGAGAAGTACATTGGGCCTATGGGGCTTAGAGTTTGGATGTACAAGTTCTTCTTGGAGGACGGCGACAAGGTCAGCATGAACTGCGAAGGCAGGCCGGTCGAGGAAGCCTTGCCGCCGAAGCCTGCACTCCAAAGCCCAAAATCCTAAAGACCCCAGAACCTCTGACCCCCAATCCCAGAAAGCCCACACACCTGCAGAAACTCGAAATCCCTTGTCAGAAGCCCAAGGCCCAACAACAGGCCCCAAGTGTGACCGGTGCCGCTAGCTTTTCCGAGTTGAACAAGTCTGTGAATTGCCGCGGCCTTTGTCCGAAACGCCGGACCTTACAACGCCAGGCCCAATCCATTCTGAGGGTTCATGTGTGAAAAGGGGACACCTCACTCAATCTGGGTATGTGTTGCGTGTCAAGATAGCTTCTTATAGAGTCATAGAACTGCCCAGACAGGTCGGGCCTATACTATACGTAACCATGTGCTTGAATCTCGGCTTCTTGCACAGATTCCACAGTATCTGCCGCAACGACAATTCCTCCAACACCGTACGGCCGAAAGATTGTTTAAATTGGGTGTGTATTGACTATAGCTGTCATATTTTAGTTGGAGGGTCCTAAGTCTGCGAATGCTGCGTTTTTTGGGCAACGGCTTGACTACAAGAGAACCCTGGGTGTGCGCAGCTGTGTTTTACGGCTCTAAGGCTACGAAAGCACTTTTGCTTTGCATACCGCCTGCTGCAATGGTCATGGCTTTCCAAATCCTCTTCGTTTTCATTTTGGCTGCGGCCAATGCTATGCGCACAACGGAGCCTTCGGCTGTGTCGGCTGGGCCTGAGACGAGTGCCTACAACGAGGTGGTGATTCCCAAGGCCTCCGAGCTTTTTTATACGGGCCTTCCGTATGAGAATGGGATTTCGGAGTATGTGCTACTACGACTAGAATTAGTAAGGAATCACAATAATCGTATTTGTAAATGTTTAGGCCCCCACATTATCGCAGTCAAGGAATGTCAGGGCTCCTGTGTCAGGTTTTACGCGTGGAAAAATGAGTCAGTACGGACTTTTCTAGCTGCTGATCCCCTGACACCATTGCAATAAACTGAGCTTGTACCCCAAATTTTGCACCCGGCGACTTCAATGTAGCGGCAACAGGGTCGGAGAGCAAGTTGAGCGTGTGGGACAGAGCAGATGAGGAGGGGGTAGTATTGCTTTCGAAGCCTGCAGAAGCACGAGTGTTATTATCCACGGTTCCCTACTTCCAAGCCCAATTTGAATATTTTGCTGCCCCTATATCACGCATGTTAGCCCAGAGCAGGCAGAGTCAGGGTATTGAAAAGACTACTGCAAAAAAGTCTGTTGCACTAATTCAATCAAATCTCTGCAAAATCCTCCTGATACTCTAGGCAATCCACATAAGTAGCCCCTTTACATGGACTTTCTCCTTGCCAGTGGGTCTTACCGAAGGTCTCCGAGCTGGAGGAGTGGAAGGAGAAGCTTTCGTCGGTTGAACCTCTCCAACTGCCCATAGGAGCGCATTTCTCTGGGATGTGCGGAGTTTTGGGGTCGCGGCTTACGGATTTGAGTGCATACCTTGACTACCTTTTTCGGCCATAGTTAGCACTAAACTAACTATACAGGCAGCCATGCTACGCTGTGCATGAGACGTCCGTCAAGGTTAGGAAGAGGAATCCAGGAAACGAGTGCTGCAACAAGGGGCCAGTATGCAGGGATTGAAGTGGGGCTCGGAAGACTACATGCCGGGACTTTTTGGTTTAGGGTTTAGGGTTTAGGGCTATTGCTGTTCTTTTGGCCTGTAGGGATTTGGCTTGACTTAGGATCCCCCCCCATTGAGTTCCCGAACCAGTTGCGTAGGGGAGTGGGGAAGCTTCATCGGAAGACTCCCCAAGACCATTATCAATAATCCACAGAACTGCCGGGTTTTCTCGGTAAAGTCTTCGGACTATTTTCCGTTCGAAACGAGTTCGCTCCATTCCAAGCCTCTTTGGAAACGGACGTCTCCAGTATGAATCTCGCTCCTTCCCGCGGCGGTTGAGAGCTGGGGGCCTCCAAGTACGAAGAGATTGCATGCCAAGAGGGGAGGTCGGTAAATTTGGGGCATGTTATCAGGCATATTGGCTATACATTATATTCAGACTTCAGACATTACTGGGTACATGATTGCGGAGGACATTGGGATTGTTTTTCGGTAATTGTATTTTTGCGCCTGCTAAGCATGTTCTATGATTGTATGATTAGGTAGCCAGGTAGAAACCCTAAACCCAAAGCCCTAAAATTAAAACCCAAACCGGAGATTCAGAGGCCTCTACCAAAAAACACATGTTAAATTTGTGTTCAGTCTTTGGGCCGCTTCCGTGTGCTGGGCACATTTTCTGCGCATTACGCCGGCCTTTTGTTGGGGGTTCAGGGTTTAGGGTCCTTCCAGACTCAGAGCCCTGATGCAGCGCTTTGTGCGGAGAAGTTCTATGGGTATTTTCAGTCTAAGGGCCCTTATGTTCCCCTGATGATCCGGTCCCCGAACGCCCCCCAAACCTACACCCTAAACCTTACAGCGAGAGGGACAACGCCCTAAACCCTAAACCCGAGCCTTGCCTGCTTGTGCGAGAGTGAGAGAGAGACGCAACCCTAAACCCTAAACCCTAAATCCTAAACCCTGAACCCTGATCCCTAAACTTAGATGCATCACCACAGCTTTTCTGCGGCACGCGCAGCCAGGCCTCCGACTTGACAGCTGACCCCAAGAAGTCTCCGAACACCAAATCGCGGTCTATTCGGGTTTACTACGGATTTATGAGGTGTTAATTGGGCTTGTCAGGTGTTAATTATTGGGGATTCTTAGGTGTTATGAGAGTATATTAGGTGTTAGTACGGTTCTATGAGGCGTTATTAGGGTTTCGGGGTTTTGGTAGCTGACCCAAGTCCCTCTCGAAAACACAACCTCCCCTCCCCCCGTAAGTCTGGCTTCCCTCCAGAAACCTCTTTAGGAAGCGGGGGTGGGGGGCGGGAACTTCTGAACCCCACTATACCAAAAAGGTTAGCATCCAAAAGCCCAAGGACACCGGACAAGTAATCTTCATACAACGCCAACACTTCTGCCGAAAGACTGGCCAGTGCCCAAACACCGCGTGGAACTTGAACCTAAACCCAGGATGCAGAGCTTTCGATTCCAAGCGGGCGTTGTACTAGTACTTATCATCCCTGTCACTATTACGGCCTCGGCCTCTTTGCATGATAGGATCCAAAGACGCCTTCATCATCGACATCTCTATGCGCATGGCTCTACTCGCCTATGGTCGGACAACCTTATCTGGCTCCTCTGGCCGTGTCTTGGTTGCTGAGTTGTGGACAACAGTAGGTTGAGAGTCTTGACTTTTGTGATTCATAGAATGACATAGCATGACTGTAAGAAAAGTATGTGCCATCACCGTGCTGGCCGTCGGAACCGTTGAGATGCGAGTATTGGCAAAGAGCCCAAATCAAAATGCAAGCAAACGAAAATAGCTCTAAAGGAGGCCAACTCTTTAATTTGTTGGGGGTGGGGGTCTGGGTGGTACAATCCAGAGTAGTCACCTGAGACGCAATGGTCAGAGAAAATGCTACTACCTTCGTAGATATATGTGCTTCATTCTTCATTCTGCAGGAATTGTCCTCCTTTCGTTGAGGTTTGCTAGTACTTGCAAGGTTGATAGCCCTTCTTGTGTTACGGTCATTTACAATGTGCGAGTTGTTGAGTTTGCTGTCTTGTCATTCTGAATAGAAGTCCGATGCATGTTGAATGTTATGGCCATTGCTGTGGGTATGGTGCTAGGCGTACTATTGCCATTCTGTCGTGTTATCTGTGATTAGTGTTTCCTATTGCATTTAGTTATGCTGCCATTGTGATTGTTTCTCAGAGCACTTCCACAAGTAACATACTCGCATGAACGAAGGAATAGCAATACCCTGCCTGTGCGTGTGCTACCTTGCCTTACAAAACACAACCCAAGACCGAAATTGCTACAACAAAAGCCGCAAGCGCAGCAGAAGACCGTGTTCAAATCCCCTTGGCATTTTGCATGAACGTTGTTGGTATTGCTTGCCATGCTTGTGACTTGCTTGGGGCCTGTTGAATTCAAGTCTTACTAATCTGATATTCTTCTGCCAGCATGAAGGTGTGGTTGGAGTCAGGACGGGGGACCAACACATATGACATCTACAGACTTGAATGCATAGTAGGGTTGCAGGATTTTGGCCACTTGCATAGTCCCGCGAGGTTGTGGGAGTCGGGGGTTTTGGGGTTCCGGGTGTAGGGGTTTTCAAGGGGGGAACTTTGAGAAATATCCTACGGTCCAGGAGCCGTTTACAACCACAAGACTGACTGAGGTCTGGAGTTTCTTTCGCCTGGGCAAGGGGAGCCCATCGCCATGTGTGAGCTGACGGTGAGGCCTCTTTGCCTAAAGCCCCGGAGCCCCCAAGGCCCTAAACCCTAAACCCCTTGTAAACCCTACTGCCCTGGTGCTTTCCACTCCTCAATTCCCCAACCCCCTGAAGCTTTACATCCCACAGAACATGGCCAGGGGTATGGAGGCTTCTCCGCAACGCATACAGAAGACTCATCTTGCTGAAAGGCAAGAAGGTGCGGCTTCCGTCAAGATTCTGGGTACCCGACGCTGGTTCAGTGGGGGAGGATGGGTCGAACCACGTTCTTTGTGCACGCCTGCTGCCCCCCTCCCCTTCCGACGACACAATGCCAGTACTACCCTCGGTATAGGCTCAGACTAAGCCCAATATGCCCCGAAAATACCTTCAGTGTACTCTTAATATATGCGCATGCGGCTTTCCGCATGGTAAGGGGAGTGTCAACGCCCCCAAATAATTTGGGGGTGGGGGGGGGGTTCCAGTATCATATATTGAGAAATACCTGATGCAACTTGGCGGGTCATCTGTGCCCGAATCCCAAGTCCCCTTGGAGCACACCCGTGCCTACAAACGACCATGTGCGAACCACAATAATAGTGAGCATGTTCGGGTGTGTTTCCATCTCGTTTATGCAATGACAGTCATTACCATTTCGGGCTGCCTCCACGCCAATGGGCATGCATCCCGAACTAAATGCTGTCAGTGTGCCTGTGCCGTCATTTCGAAACACACCCGGACACATACCGTGACAACATCTGTCTTAGAGCACCGTCATGTCCAAGAGCATCCATGAGCTGGCATGAGGAGGTCCATGTCCACGTGCATTGATTTCTAAACGCTTACGCGCAGACAGGAGTTCAAAGCAGCGACCATGAGCAATGGAATTTCTGTGGGCATCGATGCCAAGACGGTAATCAAATCCATATATTCAGCCTCATGCATGTCTGCAACCCCTTCACTTATGGGTTGGACTTGTCCCCCTTTGTCCCCTGTTACTACCCATAGGCTCCTTAGTAGTTCCTTTTTGGGATTGCCTTATAGGATTCTAAATATAAGCTACAAAAAGGAACTACTTAGGAGCCTATGGGTATATGTAAGGGATAATGGGCACGGAATCCTCTGCAAAGCGTCCGCCTACCTCCCACGCGGGAGGGCATTGCTTGTTTCGAGCCATCGTCAGGTCTCAACATATCACTGCAGGACGACAGCCCTTACGCTGTGATCTATATGATGAAGCTGCCGGAGGGAGGCTTCGGCTTAGTCTTGAGTTTCAAGGGATCCACGAATAGCCTCGACTGGATGAGGAACTTCAACATCTTGCCATCCCGTTTGCGCTCCGACGACGGTGTCAAAGTGCATACTGGCTTCGCCACGCATGTTGACAGCATCTTCAGGAGATTGTCAAGATTCACCAGGCTTGTTAAATCTCTCTACGAGGCCTGGGCAGCATGGGGCATTCCCAGCAACATTCAGAATATGGCAGACTTCGTCACCAGTGGTGAATGGAAATGGTGCATTTGTGTAGGCCATAGCTTGGGCGGAGCTATGGCTGCCATCGCGGCGGAAAAGATTGCAAGCTCCGCAAACCGCCCCAATTCGGTGTATGCGGTTTCCATCGCCGCCCCGGTTCCTGGCAACAAGGCATTCGTGGCAGACATGAAGAACAAAGTGCAGCCTCAGGGTGGCCTCCGCATTGAGAATCCGTATGACCTCGTGTTTTGGCAATTGTCTAATAGTATTTTGGTATTTGGGCGTCTTGTGAGCTGAATCAGCAGAGCCTCCAAAAGCTATCTAGTTTTCTAGGAATTAAAGGGGGTTTGGACGTTGGGCTACTAGAGAAGTTCATGTGTCAAGCATCCACCAGGTCCCCCGGAGCGGCTATGGTGGTTTGAGGCTCCTATCTCGCAGTGTCAATGGCATCGTCTGGGTACTTCCCCACGACCAATGGATGAAACGCACTGCCAAGGTTTCTGCCCACATGATCTTCAACGTCATTGAGCATGATGACGGCAACACTACGAAGCATCTCCGGTATGATTTCGGGGAGCATGAGACAAACAGCGATCCAACAGCCACAGCCACCAAGAATTATGTCGAGGTGAATGCGCTCGATGCGAACTTCAGACCCTTGCGCTGAACATCTCCTTTGCAAGCTTTACCTGAAACCCCAAGCCCTACTGAATAGTAGGCTACGAGCTTACGACTCCTTATTGACCCCCCGAAAAACAATGGTTTTTGAATCCCCACATACATTCGGAAGGGATCTGCCCGGTATTTTTCTGGTTAGGCTTTGCATCATCGTTGTCATGGTTTGCTGGTATGTTGGCACCCGAGTGCCACCTCATGCATGCTTATGCTGGCTGTTGGAGCATCGAGCCGTATGGCTTGACGAGTCTGAATAGTTACGACATAGCCGTCCTGCATACTTGCAGTGAACCGTTCCAAGTGTGCAAATATGAAAATCTACACCCTGAACACCAAGACCAGAGCCCAAACCTCAAAGCCCTGAAGGCCTAAACCGGAAGCCCTGAGCCCCGAACCCTAACAATCCTCAGATGATATACCCGAAACTCTGAAATGCGTTAGGATTCGAACAGCCATGTCATTTGCACTCAGCCTGGACCAATGCTACTGTTGGGGTCTAAATAGGCTCGGGCTTAGGGTTTACCTGTAACCCCCAGCCCCACAAAACAGAAGGTCCTGATCCCTCAATCTTAGAGTCTATAAGGTACAACTACGGTCGAACCCTTATAACTTATAATTTATAACAGTAGGTGAGTGGATCCTCAGTTAGAGAAGGGATTCAGTCATGTATGGCACAGGGTTTCGGATTTAAGCTCGAAAATTTGAGGATCAGTTGGCTTAACTGGGGACCCTGTGCATTCCTGAAAAATATGCCCAACAACCTCAACCCTGCACTGCACTGTCACTTGACCTACTGGTGCCGTTGTGAGGAGTGGGCCCTACACCCCACCCCCCCCCCCTCCCCCCAGCCCCCAAGGAGGGTTTAGGATCTGGTGGTTCAGGGTTTAAGCGTCCTCAACCAAGGATCCCGCTTCTGAGAAAGACCCCATCTCGGACAAATGAGAAACAGAGATGGTTCCGCTTTGCATGCACTCGCGGAAAGGAGAGCGAGTTGCTGGCTTGTCCTGGTCATAGGACCTCATAGGATTTAGAGGGGCCTTGAATGGAGTATATTTGCAATATAGTTCGGGCACCCAACACAGACCGCAACATAGCACGAGCACATAAGACCCAAAGCTTTAACCCTACGTCCGAAATCGCTGCGCTTACCCCGCTGTCCATGAGTTCGAAGACACCCCAGGCATCTGCAGCGCGCATGGAAGCCGGACAGTTCGAATTCTAGACCTGAATCACTACTTAGACCCATCGAGGCCCTTATGTAACTAGGTATCGATCTGGGACAGTTTATATTTCCCTTACTGTTCAATAAAGAGCCCTGAGCACACATACTCTTGGGGACTGTTGAAATCGACACAAAGTTAACATGAATGGAGATGGCAGGAGCCGAGTGAGCCCTAAAAAAAAAAAAAGCCCAGGCCTAAACCCCATATTCAGAGTTTGGGGTGTCCGGCTTGCAGTGTCGAGAAAGCCACGATTTAGGGTCTAGGGTTATAGATCTGGTATAGCACACGTGTGTAACCTTCGTTCAAAGCCTGAGGTGGAATGCCATGAATATTCGGTTTCCAAGCTTTCGTGCTTGGCTTAGGGTTTTAGCTCTTGGCGCAGGCTGTTGGGTGCAATGGTTGAGAAAGTAGGGTGCAAAGCCCAAACACTTGCAGTTGTTCGGATCTAGTGAATCTAGTGATTAGTGTCTCTGTTGTACTACCTGGTGTTGGTGAGTTTTCGGTTAGCAGTTAGCACCCAGGATATTTGAATAGTGGGTTAACGGCAGCCGTTCCCAGTTTCAGTTCTGAGGCTTCGGGTCCATGATCTTGCTACTTAACTCCGTGCATATCTCGTGGGGTGCGCTGAGAAATACCTGTGCCATCCTTTCCACACAAGCAAGAAGAAGCAATTGCGCACGAGACTGAAACGCAGAGAGGCTTACTGATACACTGTTGCATTACGAAAGTAAAGGTAGGGTCTCAGTTGCAAATATGCAAGACTGTGGCTCAGGAACAGAGAGGTTTTGTGTTTCGGGAGATGGAGTTGCTTCCGTCGGTTGAATTACCTGTAGCAACTACGATTCGCGTCCTGGTAAGGCTGGTGGGGTTTAGGGTTTAAGATGTGCCAAACGAAAGCGCGCTATTGTGGGCGCGTCGGAATGCAGGCTTACCCACTCCAAAGCCACCAACTTTCAACATACAATTCTCACGGCATGCAGTTTTATATGTTTCTTCACAGAAGTAAGGCGAGAATACATGCACGACTGAAGGAGTGTGTGTTTCGGCGCCGGATCTTCGCAATGTTGTTACTGAAGTTGTCCGTCAAGGTTGCATTGCGGCGAAGCCTGGCCAGGCCAGCGAGGAAGGGGAGCTTGGGGGGGGTCGCGGGGCCTGCGCTTGTTTTTCGCTGCCGTCTGGAATTTGGCAGCCTGGGGCCCCAGACCTGGGTGGGGGGCGGGAAAGGAACCAGTAAAAAGCAGCTGCGTTTAGGGATCAAGGCTGGCTCGGTCGCCCACCTGGTCCCTCGAAGGGTCTCACTGATCGCTCGACCATCGGTCGCCTACCCCAGACCCGCGTCATTCCAGGAGCCGATTGCAGGGTTATATTGTCTCCACCCACGGGTGCAGAATTAAAGCGTTTTAGGGATAGCTATGAAGCGCTAAAGGCAATGCGAGCATCTCCGTCTGAAGAGGGAGGATGCAAGGAGTGAGGCAAATAAAAGCTCCGTACAAGGTCCAAGCCCGTGAGGCGGCTGCATATCACGAGCCGCTCCAAACACGTTGGATTGAACAGATTCAGCAAATGGGAGACCTTTACAAAGCCCCTTATATATACACAAGAGTAGATTTTCAACCCCTAAACCGTAGACCTTATGCCTTATATAATGGCTTCCCAAACCAGCCTCCATGTCAAGCTGAAGAGAGGCGCTTTCGCAGAGACAGGCGAGGTCTTCTTCTCCAGTAAGGAGGGGACCAAATCTTTCGTTCTGCGGTTCTCGCCTTGTCTAGCACGGACAAAGAACGGCACTGTTGTGTCCGGAACGAATTTATCCAGTCACTAAGCTGCTTCACTCACCTGGATTGTTGCGCGAGTCCCAACCCAAAATCCTAAGAGTTGATAGACAAGCACGCAAACAACTTCCATGACGAGGACTCAGCGGCACCCTTCGTCTTCCGGGTTGGCGCGGGCGACGCCACCCGTTCTTAAATCCAACCCCATGATTGAAACGCGCTTGACCGGGCAGCTGTCGGTGATGTAGCAGACGGTGTGTTGATACACGTTGTAGGCAGAGTTTAGCCCGAAACAATACGTTGTTCGTATCTGAGGGTAAAGACACGGATGCCTTTAAACCCAAGATCTCTAAACACCTAACACCTAAATCCAAAAAGTGGTTTGGTCTGGGCGCGGTGCTTAGACCGCTCCTGCAAGTTCCGCAACTGCGAGCATCGAGCTTGTCACCCAAGGCGTTGAGTCCTGCATGTGAAGGTTTATAATTAGGGCTTATCGGGTTTAGGATTGGAGTGTCAAAACTCGTTCCACAGAGTCAAAGGCAAATACCCCAAGCTTCGCACTGACACCAAGAGCAGCAATAGCAAGGAAGCACAACGCATCACCCGAACAGACGTTATTGCATGCAGAGAACAAATTGAAAACGGTTGCAGTGATGCTTAGAGAACCGACAATGGTAGCCCTTGCCGTTCATTTCTATTCCCACGACCGAAACTTTGACTTCTGTGGCAAGAAACCGGGTAGGGTCCTAACCCCCTGAAAGTTGAACCCTAAACACATGCCTGACTTGTGCGAGTGAGTGTGTGAGTCGAAACCCTAAACCCCTGAACCCGAAACCCTCAACCCCTGAACTCTAAACCATACACCCTAATCTAGGGGTTTGTGTTTTTCGGTCGGCAGAGCCGAGGTGATTCCTGGGCTTGAGATGGGAGTCATGAAGATGTCAGCAGCTCTGGAAGCAAGAAGCGCAAAAACAAGGAAACCCAAAGTTTATGATTCCACGGACCGTATTATTGGGTCATTAATGGCACTCGGGCCCTAACCATAAGGTCCGTGGAAGCATGGGGAAGCAATTGCTAGTCTTATTCTTTAGCGTTCCTATGATAAAAATGCTACAATGTACTCCCTAAAATACTTACCAAGTTATTCCTGAGGGTTGCTGGCACAACTATGCTACAACATCCTCCCAAAGTAGGTTCTAATTAGTGAGGGCCCTATACCAGTCGAGGCGCCAAACATAATTTCCATTGAGCTCCTGAGTCGTATTATGATATACCCCACAACCGAAACCAGCCGCTAGCTACTGGGGCCCCTACCTCGATGCATACATATATACCCCCAAACCCGTTTCTAGTTCTTGAAACTGCTAAATCCTAAGTCCCTGCAACGCATTAAGGCCGCTGCCTAGATCCCCTAGCCCTAAACCCTATAAGCCCTAAACCCTATAAGCCCTGAACCCTAAAAAGCTCCAAACCCAAGACAGCACGTGGTTGACCGCAGCCACAGGCAGGCGTTGTTGATTATTTTGTGTTGAGGATGACGAACTGAATGAGTTATGCCGATGTTATGCTACGGGCTTCGCCCCTTCGCGTCTGCCGGATATACTCTACATGTGGGTCGTCTGCTGTGCTTTCCTGCGCTCCACTGAGGACAGAGACCAACAGTGCATGCTTTACCTTCCCCCGTCCCCTTGCCCTACACAGCTTGCCTTAAGCAAACCACTAACCCGCAAACTCCTGTCCCATGGTGACGTGTGCCTGGGCAAAAAATCTGAGCAAGTCTGACTTTCCTGGATTTGATGAATGCGAACGAGAAGCTTTCGACCGACGGCCTTCCTGCTAGCTGGTTCGATGTAGGGCGCAGCATGCTGCCGGCCCCACCAGGAATGAGTTTGGCAGCTGTGGACGTTTGGTGTGGCCTAGGCCGAGACCGAAGCCAGTCGGCTTCCAGGATTCCTGCATGAATCCCTTACATCAAGCTGCACAAGATCGCGACACATCATTCAATGCGGACCTCTCTTCTTGAAGCTCCAGACGTTCTGACACGGCTATAGCTGCCTCTTCTAGCCTCGTACACGAGCGCTGGCTCTACTGCCGCCACACGACGAAGGGGTCACAGACGCTCCTGATGCATGAATGTGACGAGTGACATACGTGCGGGTGAAGCATACTACGTGGTCCAGATGCCTGACGCACCTTCAGGTGCATGGTCATACACGGACTGCTATTCATGTTTCACATGCGAACAGAGGCCATCAATTTGAGAAGCTACCTTGGTCAAGATGCTTCACGACTGGCATGTGCATGGTCATATATAGGCTGGTAGTCATGTTTTGCGGCGATTCTATGCAAGAAGATACAATACCCTTCTGCATGGAGCTGCAGAGAGAGAGAGAGAGAGAGAGAGAGAGAGAGAGCGCGAGCATGACTGGAATTGAGCGTGTGAGAGCCTGGCTGATGGGAACAAGTGATTGAATAGTTATAGACATATTCTTTTGAAACAGTTTCCTGTTACTTGTAACAATACATCCTTGTGATTGCCTTCACTGCAGTCAAGAGGTGGCGAGAGGCACTCTGAATCCGTTAGCGTGTATGTGTTCTTCTGCACTTTGGGCTACAATGTTGGTTGGATTCATGTATGATGTCCGTATTATTTGGTTTACTTAACATGTTCGGATCTTTGATTGCTTCTTAGCTGTTAGGCTAGCAAGCCCGGACGTCGTGAAGCCATGCCTGCCTTGCGCGAGTGTGTGCGTCGAAACCCTGCAAGCCTCATAGACCCTAAGCCCTAAACCGGCCGGTGCTTCGGTTCTTGGGACCTTGCAGTGCCGATCGGGGCTGATCGAAGTTCTGTTGGGCTTAGGGTCTGGTTTCTTTGAAGTTAGAGGTTTGGGGTTTAGGGTTTAGGGGTGTGAAAGGATTTAGGATTTTGGGTTTTGGGGTTTAGGGCTGCTTCGTTTTAAGTGGCGGGGGCGTAATTAGTTTATAGCCGATGGGCTTGGGTTTAGGGTTTAGGGCTTTTTGGTGTCCGGTGTTTGAGATTGAGGGTTTGTCGTCTACAATGCCGCCGAGGTAGGAGAGAAAGCACGGCTTCATATTCCGGCAGATCTGGCCTATGGCCAGAAATCGGATCGTGTGAAGGTGGCAGTTGTGAAGGACTCGGCTGTGACTGTGGCATCCGCGGTTTCGGGCATTAAGTTGGGGCTTTTGGGTTTGCGGTTCTTGCAGACATAGGTGAGGTCACCGTTTTCACTTCCATTGAGCTTCTTACAATTGCTGAAACTCTTGCGACTCGCGAGGCGGAGTGGGACGGCAGCCGCTACTAATAGACTGGTTAATTATTCAGTTACTATGGGCTAATGTCGATAGGGCTGACCGTGCCCTGTTTCGAAAAGTTGGGAACCGTACACTCCAAACCCGATAAACCCTGCACTAAAGGCCTTTAACTTATTCCCAGATTGAGGGTCCCGGCGGATGCCACCTTTCCCGCCAGGCTTTAGCCGTCAATGTGCTGATATGTGCAGATTCAACACTCCCCTATCTTCAATTCGAGGCAACCTCACTTCTGCATCGAACCCCAGTAAAATTGTAGCGATTCTAGCGATAGGACCCCTGAACTTCGTCCTCGATGTTCAGAAACCAAAGGGTGCCTGAAGTCCCGCCTCGAAAGAGTAGAATCCTGCTTGCAAGCACACCGAATTTCCACTTTCTTTGTGCTTTTTTCCTGAGAAATGCCATCTGACTTGGTGGAGGGGCTCTTGACCCAAAACAAATTGGCGAGGATGTCATCTTCGACGTGGAGCTTCTGGAAATTCAGCAAGAGAGCTCGGGGTCGTGAACCCCCTGAGCGCAAGTGCGCGGGTCATGTAGGGAGTTTAGGGCTGATGTTGTGTAGGGAGTCTCTAAATTAGGGTCCCTTTTCAGGTCCCCAAAATAGTACGGCACCTTTATGAAAAAAAGACCCTAATCGGCACCCCAATTTACAGAACTACCTGTATAGTTCCGAAGCAACTGAAACACCCGGGTCATCCGTGGAGATTGAACTTTTCTGTCCCAGAGGGCTTGTAGGTTTCAGCGACGTATGACTCAGGGCAGGGGCGTTCTAGGACAGTGACTTCAATTGCTGGGTGACGACACCCGTGTGGAGCTGACGAATGTCAGGGGCAGCCTCACATCGCCAGCAGACATTGATTCCTCAGTAGGGTTCTGGGAAGTGCAAGGATGTCCTTCTTCTGGGATCATTCAGCAACTAGCTTCTGCTCTGTCGAAGAGGTGGAAAAATGTGTGCGCGTGTCTGTGTGTGTGTGTGTAGGTAGGTATGTGTGTGGGGCGCCCTCCGGGTAGATGTTCGAAGCAGAAGTCAGGCAGACCGCGTGAGATGCATGAAAGTTTGCTTCTTGACCCGGAGGCTCACCAGTAACATAAAGAGGGTCTACGCAAGACTGATTTCCGTGCATGCAGGCGGTGTCAGGAGGTTGAGGAATTTGCACCTTTTGACACAAGCACTCCTGCTCAGACCAAAATCTGACTCGTTGAATTTTGGCTCCTGATAATGATGACTCTCATCTTTTGGTTCTTACTTGCTGGGAGTTTCAATCCCTGAACGCAGAACTGTAGCTTCAAGTCATGAGCTCGGTATCTTCGTTGCAGGCAGCCCTAAGAGGAAAAGACCCCTCAATTAAGTGGCTGACCTTCTAAGTTATGCGTCGATAGTTCTCCAAATTAGAGCCGCCCCTTTCTACCTCCCCAAAACAGTGCAGCACCCCTTATCAAAAGGGCCCCACAAGGGAAGCTAATTTAGAGAACTACCCATATATCCAGTTCCATAATCGATTGTGGGTTATGGGGCTCTCTGTTGCTGCTCGAAAAGAGCATAAATGCAAGAAGCGGCTGATGTCTGCCGGGACACTCCATATCTGGGACATTTTTTCCTTATAGAAGCCTTATAGAAGCCCTATATACCCTAAACTCCCCACCTGTAGTTTCCTTTAACCATATAAGCCATCAGTACCCAAATAGTACGGTTTTAGATTGCAAAATCCATACTCTTGAATCCCTACTGTTTGGGTACTTGGACCCTTAAGGGCGAAGCTCAGAACCTGGAAACCGGCTCTCCGAATTAGAAGACCACCAGCCCCGAACGCCGAATCGTAAGCACCAAGAATGCGACTCTGGCTGAAAAAAGAGATGGCAGTCATCGTCGTAGAGGTGAAGAGGGTCTGGTTTGGGGTACTTTCGACATGTTTCGGACCGGAGCCTTCGACCCAAAGCCCAAAAGCCCAAGTCGCACATGCTCTGCTCTTGGCGTGCAGGCTCCAGGTCTAGAAAAAGATAGTTAGCACCCGAACACGGTTTAGGGTTCAGCGGAGTTTAGGGTTTTAGGGTTCAGGGGAAGCCCTGATACTGAATCCCTGAAATGCAAAGCCCCTACAGAAGTCATGCGAGCAGTTGCCAAGAAATAGTCACGCCACCAGTTGACGTCGGGGGTCTTTTGCGCCTACATACCTAAACCCTATAAACCCTAACCCCGAAGCCCGAACCCTTAGACTCATCCTCGCACCCCTAACGCGCGAAAGCCTCCGCGGAGCCACCTTGGAACCCCAAGCACGAAGCCTTTACACTCAAAACGTCAATAAATCCGTTGACTTCGAACTGCCATATAACATAGCATTGACAGGAGCAGGCAAGAAGAATAAATGAAGAAATCTTCCACCCTCGATCCCACACCTCCTAAACGCAGGGCTGTTTCCCGACTGTGAGCCATTGTTTCGACCCGAACGGCAAGAGTCCGGCCGGACTGCCTCAATGAGCAAGTCGGGCGAGGACGTGCTTCAGGTTTGGGGAGATGCATGTCAGGCATGTTTGTACGGTTTGGATTGCCGGGGGTGGGGGGGGGAAGTACTGAACCATTAAGGTCCACTAAACCCTAAACCCTTCGGCAAAATATTTGTAAACTTCAAGCAAAGCTGCAACAGCCCTGGACCTCTGGAGCCCTTTACCACCCCCAACCTCAACTCTCTGAGTGTCAAGTGTCGGGTTTAGCGCACCAGACAAACGGGTTTGGTACCCAGGGAAGCCAGAAACCGTTTCTAAGGCTTTGTACACTTGGAAAGAAACTGAACGGTTTTGGGAAAGTAGACGTCTGATGATTTGGTTCAGAAAGAGAGTTCTGGACAAACAGCGGATTTCCACCTTGACTTGCAGCATGCAGCTCAAGAATTGTCCACGGTTGGGTGCATCAGGGTTTTTGGGTTTCAGGGCTACGGGTTTTCGGTACGGAGGGGATTTTGGATGTAGGCGTTTAGACACCTGGCTTCAGGTTCTTGAGCGTCGTTGAGGATGCAGGCGTTAAGGGCTTGGGGGTGTGGTTTTCAGGGCTTACAGGAATGCGGGTTGCTGCTTTTGCAAGCTCTGGATATGCTTAGCATTGCAAGAGGGGCACAGCCTGCTCTTGCAGGACGACATTTGCCCAATTTGCCTGGAAGATGAGCACCTTGGATGCACTTTCCGCACTTACAGGAAGCTGCATAGTAACCCTAAGTCTTAAATTTAAATCCTACACCCGAAACCCTGGACCCTCACCCTAAACCCAATGAACATAGCTCGACATCCTTGAACCCTGAGTTCCGAAACCCGAAACCCTGAACCGGTGAGCCTCAAACTTGAACCCAGACAACAAGGTATGAACTACGGTTGATGATATAAATCCTGCCGTACCTTAAGGACCTGGTATATTCCTTATATAAGGATATAATGCAGGACTTATGTCATCCACCGCACGTTGTCAGGACATGTCCGCTGGGCTCCTGGCCGTTTAGTCAGCAGTTTAGTCCGATTTAAGGCTCCTGAATACGAGGTCTTTCTTGCGAAGCCTCGCAGGCCCGGAGGCAAGAAAACCCTATACCTTAAATGGGTAGTTCTCTAAATTAGGGTCCCTGATTCGGTCCCCAATATAGTACGGCACCCGTATAAAAGGGACCCGGAAAGGGACCTAAATTTATTTAGAAAAGTTCCCAAATCCTAGAAGCCATGAGGCAAGAAATTCAAGGAACCGGGTCGGAAGGGAAATCATTAATGGCCGAAATCGCCATAGCCTTCTACGGCAACAACCGCCCGAAGAGCGCGAAGAATCTCGTGTTTGGCTTGGGGGGGCTTTCTGTTTAGGGTGTGGGGATCTAGCGTTTGGGGTCTGAGGTTCAGGGTTAAGCATGACGAATTTTTGCATGTGCCCAGGCCCCTCCCCACCGATTGCCTGAAACCTACAGCCACACGAAGCGGCCTTCCTGTGTGTGCAGCCAGGCCAACACAACCAGTGGTATGCCCGTGCCCAGGATCCTTGTCCTTTGATTGTCGTAGCCGGGCAGGGTTTAGGGTTTAGGGTTTAGGGGTTGTTCTATGATAATTGTTGGCAAGTCTATTGTTGCATTTGCTGTGCTTTGATCTCTCTAGTGCATGTGCTTCTTTCGTCTGAGCGGGGAGATGGAGTTTTCCCTAAACCCCAAACCCTTATTTTCTCAGGCATTCGGGCTCCTTTTGCTTTGCTTTTTTCCGAGGTCCGGTCGTGTTTTCACGGGTTGAGGGTTGGTGGTCGTACCGGAACCTTACACTCCTAACTTTGCAGTACGACAGTTGCAGAAAACAGAGGGTTGTACTCTGTCGCAGTTTAGAATCAGTAAAATTAGCCGGCCTTGCGTAAGAAATCCTTCAGTCCCTTAGTCCAGGACACCCTACATGAACAGGGTTTAGGGTTTACGGTGCTCACGATCCTTGGGGTTTGGGGCTCCTGCGCCTGCGCGTTAGGCAGCAGGGAAGAAGCGGCAGATATCAAGAGAGGGAGAGAGAGCAAATGTCTAAGGTGTAGGGCCCTCAACCCTAAAGCCCCCAAATCCCAAACCAGCCTGAAAGTTGATCATAGGGGCATTTTAGTAGAGCTTAGGGTTTGGGTTTAGGGTTTAGGGCGTGAGACTATGCTTGGGCAGGACTGTACAGCAACATGACCTCGCTAGTCGACAGCAGAAATTCCCACACCTCATCGCTCGCAGATAAAGCTTTTGAGCCCAGAGCCAAAACCTCCCAAGCCCTTAATATAGGAACCTGACAAAAAGATCCTGGGCCTTTGTTGGGGCTCTTAATATGAACTCATACATATATATATA